CACAACATGGTATTTTTATTCTTGTAGCAATGTGAATTCTTGGAACATTTTTTAATATCACAGCTTTTCGCATCTGTTGAAAATAGAGTAATAATTTATTGTATATTGTTCAGGTGGATTTTACTGCAGTGGTTGATTTATAGAGGGAGTGCATGTATTGTAAGGGGTGTGCAAAAAATTAAACAAAATCTTACTTTTAAATGTGCGAGGTATTCAAAGTTTGTTGTCAGTCTTAAGGCGCTGTTACACTATGCAATTTGTCTCGCAATTCGTCTCGCAATTTTGTTGCGACACAAATTGCACGCGAAATTGCAAGGTGTATCATCCCAATAGAATTTTCTATGATCATATGTCTATTGTATTTCTATGATCATTCCTCGCAATCAACAAGTCTCGCAATATTTTTGTTGCAACAACCATTGCGCACGAAGTAGAATCAGGTTCTACTTTTTGCAACGATTGCGGCAACGCATTTCTAGAGCATTGCACAGTAACATCCCTCTTGCAATTAGTCTCACAATGTTTATACACTGGATGGCTTCCTATTGGTTTTTGACATACAATATGGCGCCAAACGTTAGCACTCGCGGTTTTTATACTATTTTTAATAATGATCATTGCAAGCTGCATGGAACACATTCATTTGTGTAACATCATTTGCAATGCAATGCTGAAATCTTTTTTTGTCAACATTGTGAGACAAGTTCCGAGACAAGTTGCTTAGTGTAACAGCGCCTTCGTACAAACTTAAGTTTTGGAATTGAAGGCAGTACCACATCACTAGTTCAAAATACTAAGTCCAATAGGCAATATTAATCATTTTTGCAGTTACACTTTGATTAAATAAAGTAAATTCTTGATTTTGCCACGAACATTATAAGTATTTGAAAATTACAAAAGCAATCAAATATTTCAATGTGAAAAACTTCCATTTTGTCTTTCACAATCACAGTATATCAAGAGAATCGGGCATCTATATTCATAATCGGGTATCTATAATTATTAAATTATATTTATTCAACGTATCTGTAAATTTTCGTGGGACTTAATCAGGAACAAATAGTTCTGTTGTCCTTTCCATCAATCGTGCGATTGTTAAGTTAATAAAAAATAAATAAAAAAAATTCTAAGCAAGAAACTACCAGATGTGCTTTTATGACAGTAGGCTGCTCGCCTCGCCCCGATAAAAAAACCTTGCTGGATCCACCACTGTTTCACTAAGCACTATCGCGCAGCAGATGTTGGTCAACCTACAGTTCTCACAATGAGAAAATAATGTTCATTCTTTTCATTATTACAAAAAAAGTAACTTTTTAGAAATCACCCTTCTGTTGTAAACACCCAAACTTCATTACCTCTGGGAGTTTATACAATGCATTGTAATCGTGCGAGCATGTTAAAACTGCATAAATTGTACATGAAAATTCTACAGTAATTGAAAGTTAAAACGACTTAGAAATCAAGGCGCTTTCCATTTAATGGCCTGGGTCCGGTCAGACCCGAATTTTTGTCTCTGTATCAATGGAAAGATCTGGCGTATGTTTCTCAAATATCTAGCGAAAATGGACCTCATTCTAATGTTATCTAAATTTTCCGGTCAGATACAGTAGGTCCAAAGCTCAAACGTTTTGTGTTTCATTCCACAGTTTGACCGTTCTGACCGGTCTGGCCGTGTTAATGGAAAGAGCCCTATAATTAGTGCCCGTCAGAGCAAAGAGTTTTTACGCCAACATTTTTGGGAAAAATAGGGGCCCCGAAATAAAAGTTGCCCTGGACACCCGAATTTGTCTGATAGGCCCTGATAGTGAATAAATAAGATTGAGAGATTTGACTACAGAAAATAACAACAGCGACAACATCAACAACAATAAATAGCAACAACATCAACAACGCAAAAAAACTCGCATCAACAACAACAGCAACAACAGCAACAACAACAACAACAACAACGACGACAGCAACAACAACGACGACAGCAACAGCAACGACAACAACGACACTAAAACCTGGTTCCCATATTGTCGTAATGTTCGTAAAAATAGAGTCACGATCTTTCTCAACGGCCAGTTTATAATAGTTTATACCTGTAAACCACATATAAATCATAAGTATTCTCTAGTTATAATCACTCCGCGTATTTTCAGTTCTAAAATGTTGTCCTTCCGCCGATGAGAAAGATCGTGACTTAATCTTTACGACCGTTACGACCATATGGAAACCAGACTTGAATCTTACATTTGCTACAATTTTTCCCATGATAACCTCGTTTACAACTGAAAGGTGTGCATGTACCAACTCCCAAAACGCCGCTGTCACAAACGCCATGTTTGCATGTACAATCTAGAAATTGAAACGTACTGGTAATAATAAAATAATAACAAGGGCCGGTTGTTCAAAGCTGGGTTAGCTTAACACAAGGTTAACCTAAAATTCAAAGCAAACTTCCTGACAGCTTGTCTATAAATTTGGATCGATAGGAGTCTTGTCTGGATCGATAGGAGATTACTTCTCTGAAGTTTTGAAATAAACAGACGTGCAGAGATATATAAACTAAAACAGCAGGTTAAATTTTAACCCAGAGTTAGCGCTAACCCACCTTTGAACAACCGGCCCCAGGAGATTACTGCTTAATAGATTCAAACCACAGCAGCTTATTGCAGAATACTGCCTGCAATGGTTTTCCATGTTTCATTGAATCCTTAAATGATCATACTGTATATTTTATTTACCTTTGCCACACTTGACATCAAATTTTGATTTATTAGTACATAGCTCACAAGCAAACCCCTCAAAACCTGCCTAAATTTACAATTGAATACAAGAATATTTTAAAATTGTATGGTAACTACTGTATGTTGGAAATTGATGATGTTAATGATACAGGTAGTGTTAATAAAGATGTTGATTATGGTGTTAATGATGATGATGGTGTTGATTATGTTTTTATGATGGTGTGATGTTGATGATCAATAGTGTCAATGATGATGGTGTTGATTACAGTGTTAATGATGATGATGGTGATTATGTTTTATGATGGTATGATGTTGATGACAGTGTCAATGATGATGGTGTTGATTATGGTGTTAATGATGATGATGGTGTTGATTATGTTTTTATGATGGTGTGATGTTGATGATCAATAGTGTCAATGATGATATGGTGTTGATTACAGTGTTAATGATGATGGTGGTGATTATGTTTTATGATGGTATGATGTTGATGACAGTGTCAATGATGATGGTGTTGATTATGGTGTTAATGATGATGATGGTATTGATTATGTTTTTATGATGGTGTGATGTTGATGATCAATAGTGTCAATGATGATATGGTGTTGATTACAGTGTTAATGATGATGATGGTGATTATGTTTTATGATGGTATGATAACGATGACAGTGTCAATGACGATGGTGTTGATTATGGTGTTAACGATGATGGTGATGATGTTGCTGATAGTGTTAATGATGGTGATGATGGTAATGCCAATGATAGTAATGATGAATGATGACGTTTATTATGGGGTTGATGATGATGGTGATGATAATGGTGTTAATAAATGATGAAAATATTGATGATGATCTTGATTGTGATATTGATGATGATGATGTTGATGATGATAATGTTGTTTATGATGATAATGTTGATAATGATGTTGATAATGATATTGATGATGATATTGATGATGATATTGATGATGATGTTGATAATTATAATGTTCACGATGGTAGTATTGTGTTCACTTGATGATGATGATATAAAACCAATGTAAAAAGTGGGTTCAAATAAATTGTCTTGTCTTGTCTTGTCTTGTCTTTGTGATGATAGTGATGGCAATGTTCATGGTGTTGTGTCATCACTGTAAAATCTTCTCAAGCATAAACTTACATTGCATTGACATGTCCCATTTCCAGCAACTGAATCATAGCATTGTCCGTTACCAAAACACGCTAGTTGGCCAGATTCCATGCCTGGACATGCTGGTTAAAATACAGACAGTAGAGCTAAAATTACTAACCCATAATAATTATTGTACATTATTGTATCCTTTTGTGCAAGAAGTTTACTAGGGAGTTTAAGCTTCATGTTTCAGGGAACAGCAAATGGCAGGTTCAAACTTTCTTGGCAAAATTTTCATTGAACATTTTCGTTTCATATTTTCTTTCTTGCGTCGAAAGAATAATTACGAATTTCAGTTTTAAAGCAGTATGTTCATTTACTGTCCAAAGGTATTTATTGCCTGATACCATAAAATTTTTCTTTGCCTGGCGTTTGCTGTATAACACGAAGCTCAAACTCTCTACCATTAAGTTGTCATTCCTTGCTAGTTCAGTACTATTTAATTAACAAGTATAAAACATTTTCCATGTCAATATACAGTTATATCAACACAAGTGGAAATTGAGAAAGCAAGAAATTGTTTCACAATTTCCATGAGTGTTGATGTACTGTAACTGTATATGAATACAGAAAAAGTTTTACATTTTTTTTTATAATATAGCACAAAGAAATATAAAGAAATAAATTTTCTGTGTTAACATCAAGTTATATCAGCACGGCTCTTAGCAATTAGGCCTCGATTTCCAGCCTGCTTTGGGGATTTGGCCAATCAGCGTTCAGAATTTACAAATGCTAAATTATAATATACGTTACTAATATTTATTCGATCTCACATCAGATAAATTCACAACCCTTTACCAGGG